GTCTCTGGATCTTCATTTAGTACTCTTTTTTCTTTTTTTTTTCAATTTATATATTCAAGGAAAAGGCCAAAATGAAACACTTACCGTCACATTTTCCTGTTTCTGAAGTACCGCAGGACTCACATTTACCAAATTCAAGGGGCAAACCAAGGAAAGGATTGGAGAGCTGACTTGCATGATTAATAGAGCATCCACTGATTGAAGCTGTACACTACAAATAAAATGCAAAGAATTAAGGAAAAAAGGCCAACAAAAACTACAGAATGAAATGATCAGAAACAATCAGAAAAATTTAGGTATGCAGTTATTAATATCAGCTTCTCATGGGTACAGGATTGAGGAAAAGATAATCCCAACCAGTTTCAGTATTCAGATCAAGGCTTAGTCTGGTTTTTTACCATTTATTGGCACAAGCAGGCAATATCAAGAAAATACTACATCAGCAAAACATGAGATATGTCTCTGTCTGGCAGATTTCAGAGCTAGTTTCAGTATGTGTGTGTGTGTGTGTGTGTGTGCAAAATAGCTAATAGCACTGGATATTACTCCCTCACAACAATCCAAAAAACAAATGAAATGAAATAAAATAAAAGACTTCTCAGCAAATCTCATGGCGTTGCTTCTCAACCACACAAACAACATGGCATAGAAGAAAGATCTGTGTCATTATAACAGTAAATTAAAAAATAAAAAAATGTAGATTTCTACTTACGATTTCCCTATGAGTTGCCAAACCAAATCTGATACCAACCACCTCTGCATCTGTAATAGGCAATGAAGAATCCTCCTCCATCCCTCCTCACAACGAACTTCAAGAAAATATTGCAGTCTGCAAAGGAAAGGCAAAAACAGTTACTACATCATAATGCAGTGCTCCCCTTCTCTAGGCTTCATTAGTCCCAACTCGGCTCTAACAAGAACCTGATAAAGAAACCAATACAGAATTGACTACCCTTTATTTTGAATCCAATATCTTTTATTATCTATTATTAACCATCCCTCCTGCTCCTCAGGACTAGATCCTTAACATTTGTTCTTGGCAATCTAAAACTCTTATCATTTCAACAGAAAATCTCAAATGCAAACATAAAACGACAAAGTTGATTACAGAAAAAAAAAAATGAATTTGGAAAATTTTTGTCAAATTTTTCTGGTCTCCTTCTTATGTCTGCATTTCAACAGTATAATTTTAAACCCAAAAAATACCCTAAATTAAAACCCAAAATGATAAGTAAAAAAAAAAAAAATGAGTTTTTAGTGTAAGAAACAAAAATTTTCCTCAAAGAACGAAATACACTACAGATTTTTCCCATCACTTTCTCAGCAAACAAACAGACACTTAAAATTAAAAATCTTAAAACAAAACGCACAACCATGCAAGCTAACCAGAAAACAAAGAAAAACGCAGCAAGCAGATTTTGCATGAGACTGAAAGAAAAACCAAAGCTTGGTTCCCGAGAAAATGACGCAAATAAAATGTGCAGCAGCACAATGCCTGAGCTTTAAAGCAATGAAAAACAAAAACCAAAAACAAGATCCATGTATACTCCTCCTACTCTCCACTTCTCAGCAACTAAAGACGAGATTGTGGGAAAAAAATTTTACCTGAAACCGAAAGTTTAAGCTAAATCTTCTGGTAACCAGAGCTGAGTCAAACACGAAAAACCCTAGAATTCAAAGGGAAGAAAGCTGAGGAATAATAAAAAGGGAAAAAAATGTAATTTAGTGGGAGAAGGAAACAGAGTGTACGGTGTATCATCAAAGGAGTAAAACGAGAGCAGTGTGTTCTGTATTTCTCTCTCTTTTCTGCTTTTGCTTTTGATTTTTTAGCCGTTTTAGAGAGAGGCAGAGTGAGAGAAGCCACGCCAAAGCAAATGTGAGAGAA